GGGTTCCGTATTTCCAACCAAACCAGTTCCAGATCCGAGAGTCAGTCCAGAACCAGAAGTGGCCGGGAAACATCCTTTACCCCCAGCTGGGGCTTCAGATGTTCCCAAATCCTTTGGCGGGCATCCTAGTGCAGGCCCAAGCCCAGAGGCTTGGGGTTCAGATGCCCCCCGAGTTTTGCTTGCCCTTACCAGAAGGCTCCAGGAGCAAGCTAGGGTCTAGTTTGATTTGCACCAAGTCTTTTCCCCCTCTGGCCTCATCATGCAGGGGCAGAGGGGCCCCCCTATGCCAGGCAGTTGGCAAGAAGCAGTGTGATTCCTCCTTCTGTCCTCAGAGCGGGGTGGGAGAGCAGCCACCTGGTTTCAGGCAGGCCACAAAGGGTCTCTCACCCTTCCCCGCTTGTTCCTTGATGAGACAATTGCTTTCCCTTCTAAGTGTCTCAGGTGCCAGGGAGGAAGGACAGTCAGCTGCAAGTCTCTCCCGAGAGGACATGACTCACGGTCCCCCACCAGTCAGTCGCCACTAGCTCCAGCCAGTTCCACCTTTTCCAGAGCATCAGAGTTTCCAAAACAGGAAGAAACAAGGGACTGCACAATAGGGCTCTCCAGTCCGTCCTCCACCGGACCCCACTCTTCTATTCAGAACCAGGCTTCACATCTCCCAGGGGCAGCCATCCCACAGCAAAGGGGGGACTTAGGTAGCCAGCGAATTATCTGAGCGTCCTACCTACAGCCGGGCTCCCCCTCTCACGGCAGCAATCCACTCTTCTTGGTCAGCACCTCAGCAGGTCTAGCAGGGTGGGGTTGATGAGGCTTACACAGGCCCCCATGAATCCCCACCTCCTGGCCAGGGGAGAATTGAGTTTCATGCCCAGTCAAATGCCTGGGCAAGTGATTAACAATTAACATCAATAGTTTACCAGGACAAAGGCAGCTATATGGAATTCACTCCATTTTACAGATGGGGAAACTGAGGCAGAGAGAGACCACACAGTTAGAAGGGTCTAGGATCCTGATGCCCCATCTTGAGCAACAGTTATTAGGTCCTGCTTCCTCCAACCTATGTAAAAATCAAGTGGCAGTGGCTCATTTGTGATCCTGTTGATGTCTGTGGCAAAACTCGCATAGACGTTCATGGGAGCAGTCAGGCCCTAGCACATAACGAGCAATAGTTTAATCAGCTGGTTAATAATGAAATGCATGAGCACATTAGTGCTGCATCCTGCTTAACTAGTCTCACCAGCTGGGGTACCACAAGGACCTTGGTACACATTTGTATGTCTGTTTACTAAGAAATAGATCCCTTGTAGACGTTGCTTATTTGCTCGTCTTTCAGGTCTTTATGCAAAGTTCTTTCTGCAACCACAATATTCCTGAGAAGAGTCCACAAACTTTTAAAATGATTTATGCAAGTTGTTTGCTAGTCCTTGGAGGGTGCAGGAATTGGCAACAGGAAAATATAGCAACACTGCATCAGGGAATGGAACGTGCTGCATCAGGGAAGATGAGCCGTATGTCTGTGGCTCCCTTCCAGTCTTTTGCTTGTTATAAAGAAAGCAAGTAGTTGCATGTTGAACCCCACTCCCCCGGTTCTCTTGACAAACAACCCTTCAGTTGTGAACAGTGCATCTTGCAGCCTAGCTAAGAGGGCAGGAAGATTGAGGAATGGACTAGACAGATGAGAACACTTGCAAAGCGTTCTCCCCAGGTGCTGATGGGTGAGACTGGAGCATGGCAGTGACGGACAGCTGGGCTGATCCCATGGCTGCTTATCAAGAAAACAGTTTGTTGGGACAAGTATCTGAGACACAAAAAATAATCACCAATATTGGCAAGAGATTGGCCAAAGACAGAACAACCTTGCTAGTGATCCTATCTCTGAACTACACTAGAAGGACAGTATATAGCAGCGAGTCTGACACAGGATACCATAGCACTCTGGGGTGCCTTAAGATCCTTTCAAAGATACTGCAGGGTGCCACACAATATAAACACTGTAAGGTGTGCAAACATGATTCACAAGACAAATCCAGAGATTTCAAACAGGAAGCCATTGTGTTAAAACCCTGCTGAGCTCTTTGCAACAGAAGAATTGCTCCAGAATTTTTAAAAAAACAAGTCAAAACCAAGAACTGACATTTTCCAAGGGAGGCCTCGAGTCTATCAAAGAGTGCCTCGAATCTGAAAAGGTTGAGGACCATTGGTGTATAGAAAAGGTCTCCGTTTTATAGGCGCAGGCAGGATTTCAGCCCATTGTCTTTCATGAGCAGTAAGCTTTCACGCCAAGGAGGACTTTTAATGACATGCACGATGCGTGAATAAACCTGGATTCTGCTCTTACTCTAAGCTGCTGATGTGACAAGAGCCTAGTATGGGGAACGAAGAGGCATAAAATGAGCCTTATCTGTGCGCAGGAAAACATCCCTCTGCCTATTAAAGGGGTTGCTTGCACTTCCCTTTATCAGCTATTAGATACTGGGCTAGCTGTGCCAGGATAACCATTCCTCTGATCCTAAAGTTTGTACTAGTAGCTGTCCCTGGCCCATTAGCTGGAGGAGAATTCCAACAAGGCGTTGTACCACAGTATATCCTTCCTGTTGCAGGTTGTATGAGGTACAGCCAGGTGAGCTGGCACTAACATTAACTTGTTCCCATTTATCTTGGTTCAGGCAGCAGGCCTGGCAATGCAAATGCGAGAGTCAGACACCCGAAGAGAAGAACCTGGCTTGTGATGAGATGCCGTGGGTGGCAAAGGCGGTTAATAACTAAAGCAGAGGTGCATCTTAATGGGAGAATAAATGCGCATCAGTAGCAAGTGAATACATATGGGCAGCACCATGGGCTTGGCAGTTAGCTGGATGAAACAAGTAAAGCGCTGGGCTGCGCAATTAGGGGCAGAAACAAATTGGCCTGTAATTTTCCATGCTGCTGCATATGAGGCTCTTTGTGCTGAAGACAGTCCTGAGCCAGAAAGTTCAGAGCTGTTTGCTCACACTAAAGGGCCAGGCTATGAACTGAACAGAAGCATTCGCAGAAAACGAAGCTGTACCGATCATCCCATCCCCACAGCCTCCTCTGTTTATAGGCTTTCGGACCACAAGACATCAGGGTAAATACTTGCTGTTTTGCATAGGTGCTGTGCAGCTCTGTGTGGCCTCAGCTTTGATCAGGGCTTTTTTATTTGCTACATTAAATGCTTAGTCATAGGGGAATGAGCTTGCCTACATCACACATGCATGCTTATTTATCATCCTATTAGTTTACAGAGTGCCAGCTGGAGACTTGAAATTATCTCCTTGACACCACTGTGTTTTGGACTTTGAGATATGAAGTCTGATTGGATTATTTCAGGAATGAATTAATCAAATATTGCCCATAAAACTCTCCCTGAGAGACAGACTCTTAAGACATTGATTGGGCAGCCAACATCAGAGTTAGTAATAGCCACACTGTTGCTTTCCACAGCTAAAAATATGTCACCTAAAAAAACCTCAAACAAAAGCCAAGCCAGATCAGCGTACATTGCAAGAGGGCCGTGTGGTCCAGCCCCAGAGTCAGGAGACTTATACTTTATTCCTTTGCCCATGGCTCACTGCATGACCCTGGGATAAACAATTTAAATTCTGTCAAACTTGGTTTCCCCATCTGTAGCACAGGGATTATAACAGTGACCCTCCTTTGAGCAGTGCCTGGGGATTCACAGGTATAAAGGGCTGTTGTGCAGGCTGGTTGGGATTCCCTTGTGCTACAAATGTCACAGAGATCAAAGTCTGGCCAGCTGCCACGGAAAAGTATTGGAGTGACCTGGGTGTGGGGAATCTCCCTATTAGGGTTGCCAACCCTCCCAGATTGCCGATTCGGGGAGACTCCCAGCCATCCATCTCCTGGTGACTACTGAAAGCAATCCGGGAGATTTTTTGTTTCCCCCAACATGATGATTAATTTAATTTTCTTAAAATATCCTATTAAACTCTCCCGGAATAGCGTCAATCAGAGTTGGCAATCCTACTCCCTACTGTTTCATTCTACTGGCCCCCAAGAGATGGACCCTGGGAGCTAACCCAGGTTTGCCTTTAAGGCTTAAACAGGAAAGTGAGAAGAACAGGGAGGTGCCTAAAATAGCTGGCAAAGAGGATTTGCATAAAGCTTCCTAGTATAGCTAGCTTGCCCTACTCAGTAGAGCTCTGTATGTTTTCTATTACTTTTGGCGTTTGCATAATTTTGGTTCCCTCCTCCGCAAGAGGATTCTGTGACCTTAGCTCCCACCCGGTAAGGGGACTCTGACTGCCGAGGGTAGAAGGGAAAACAAGCGATGGGAGGGAGCCGGCAAGGGCAATTCATACCTCACGGAGGTGGAGCCACTTCTGTACCTGGCCACGTGCAGAGCCTTGCGAAATAAAAGGGGAAGGCAGCACTTTCCCAAGGAGGCTGGTGCCAGGAGTCTGTAAAGAGAGGAAGTTGTTGTGAAACACGTAGAACAAACAGCCTTGGTTGTAGAAGGTAGCAGCTCTCCTGAGCCCAGAGTGAAGGCAGCTCTGCTGTGAATAGCCCTGCATCCTACCAGGAGCTGTACAATAGCTGGGCTTTTTTCTTTGACAGGTCAGCTTGGCAGAAGGTAAAAGCAGACATGTCCGGAGGGGGAGCAGTGCATGGGACTTCCAAGGCACAGGACCAAGGATGGGCCTGGATGGTTCTGCTGGCCACTGTGCTGGTTCAGGGGCTAACACTGGGCTTCCCCTCTTGCGTCGGGGTCTTTTTCACTGACCTGCAGCATGAGTTCCAAGCCACCAACAGCGAGACATCGTGGTTCCCATCCATCATGACAGCACTGTTACATGCAGGAGGTAAGTAAGATACCAAGCAGCTACTTTCATCTTCTCCTGTTGAAGGCACTGGGCAGGGGGTCATTAACTAATGAACATGTATTACAGTAGCTCCAGGCTGGGAACCAAATGTCACAGGGGACTGGAAAGGGGATACAGCCCAGGCATGAATCTGGATTCAGGCTGCTTGTGACCAAAAGCTTTTCCTTTGGTAGCACCCATGAAATGAGCCCAGGGTGTCTCTGACCAGGTCCACCACCACAATCAGCCTTTGGTGGCAGTTGCAAAGGTTGATTGGGACATGGAGACTGAACTCCTTTCTCAACTGTCTAGATTGTGCTGGAGGCACATTGGCAGGGAGAGAGGCTTAAGATGCTGACTCCCTTTCTCACCTGTCTTCTCCAGAACAGCCAAAATACACTGCCTTTTGCACAACAGTTCCTTGGCTAGTGCATCTGATACTTCTACCCTCAGACTGCCCCTTCCCTCTCTGTGCCCATTTAGAGCATGTCTCTCTGCCCGTACCACACCATACTCTGCCTTCCATGGTGTACAAGATACTACGAGGCTTTTGCTATCTCCAGAGAGATCCCCAAATACAAATCAACTGGATTAAAAGCAGCTGACAAGCAGCTGTCAGTTAAATAAGGACAGAAGTCAATGTAGCTCAGTGCCCAGAGATGGAGAAGACCGTGTTCAGAGAAGTACTTCCCACCTACACAGTATCCCTGGCCAGTGTGGACAGGGAATTTGTTTCTCAGGAATCTACTAGCCAAGCTGTGCTATGCAGTGCGGGCCAGATTTATCTCTGCTGGGAACAGGAGGTGGAAGGAGAATTACTTTCTGAGGATGGAGGAATGATTTGCCTGTGAGAGGAGAAATGGGGTCCTCTCTAAGTGATGACTGCTTTAGTTTCTGCTGTTCTATCACACCTCACCAGTAGAGCAGGTGGGATGTGCTTACTGGAGGTGCCTTCACAACTAATACCATCCCTTCTGAGGTTGCCCTTGTGGCCTGTGGGGACTCCCGGTGGAACAGAGGTTGTGACCATCTTATGCCAACACCACCTGGCACACTTTCCACTGCTGGGCATCCAGTGCCTTCATATGTGCCAGGGGAAGCTGGAAGGCACCAGAGATGAATCCAACTTTATTTTAAGAATATGAGTACTAGGTGGTACTTGACACTGTGGAGCTAGCGCTCTCCATTCTTTAGCCAACTGGCCTGTTGTGATAGTTAAACCATTTAGACATTTAGTGGCTCCTTGGGCTCTACATGCCCCTTGGACCAAGCCATCTGCTTCTCTGCTTCAACAGAGCTCCCAGCCCAGCAGTTTCCTGGGTCCCTGAACTCTGTTCTTCCAGCTGAGGCACTGACTTCGCCTTGGCACTAGCACCAAGTGCCAGAGCATCCTTTCTGTGGTTCTTACTGGAAGAGGTGCAATGCTGTGGGCACCTGCCCCTCCAAAACAGTCATCAGGTGGGTGTCTCTGCTGCAGAGATGACTCAGTCTACAACACTTGCTAGTCAGTGACTTTTGTAACTACTGACTCCAGAATTAATTGCCTTCTTAGGGACACTAAAACCCACATTCCCCACCTGTGCCAGGAGCATAGGAATCAGCACATGATCCCTGGATCAGAGGGAGAGTCTGGCGCCACAGCCAAAAGGGAGCTATGAAAGATTAATAAGGTAGAGTCTCAAGAGGGCACTTTACATGATCGGAGAATTCAGCGGTCACTAACTAATTAATCATCAGGGCCCCTGTGGGAGATAGAGGAAGAAGTACCAGGAGCTGCCTTTCACCAGTGGGGAAACGGACATTAAGGAACTAAGCAACTTGCCTGGTGTCAGTAACAAAGCAGGATTTAGAACATGCATGCTACTCCCCTTGCACACCCAGGCCCAGTCTCTTCTCTTTGTCAGGAGCAGTGTGCTATATATTAGGGAGCCTTCATAGACATTAAGGCCCAGAGGCAAGGGATTTAGGTACCTAATACTCTTAAAGTCAATGGGAATTAGACACCTGGATCAGGTTTTTTGTTCTCTCACCTTTAAATCCCTCCCAGAGACTCACTTCTAACAGGATATACACAGGAAAGAAGGCAACCATGACAATGATTATTGTTTTGTTGTTTTTGCATATATATATAATTGCACTTTAAACCCTTCTCATTGTGCTGCTCACAGGTCTTCACCAAGTGACAACCTTATCTTATCACTGTGACCTCTCCCTGCCTTCCTCCAACCCCAGTCCATTTGTTCTTTTCACAGATAAAAAGATTGTGTCTTTTTATCTGTGCCATGATGTACTGAGCAGACTTTTATCCATTATAATACAATGAAGAGTAGTACACTACCCTATTAATACACACATATGGAACACAGTGAGTATGTACACACACTATGTCATTAGTGACAGACATGCATGCATGTATCTATATGTACCTATGTGAGCACACTCAATGCATTACATAGATAAACTGAAACAACTGGTATATAAAACTACTGGTATATAAGCCTTGCAAATGCTCCCACATGTCATTCTTCCCTCACAAGCTTCTGGTTGCACCTTGCTAGCAACAAGAGCAAAGCTTAAGTATTTATGATCTCTTTAGTATTCCAAGGGCACATCGGACTTTATTCAGCATTTAACTGTTTTATGTAGTTGAAGAGTATCCTACAACAACACACAGAATTGCCCTCAGGTGTTTAGTAACACAGGAAAACAGAAAAGCACAGAGAAGCTTTGAAAAGTTCAGATCCCCAAAAGGGACTCATTTAGTTATACTCATGGTAAGGATACAAGAGCAAAACATAACTGCTTAATGTTATCTTTGGGTGCAACAGTGCTCCAGAAGAGTATGGAGTGGGGGGATGGACCTGTAAGAAGAGGTTATAAGAATAGGCAAGGGTAGGGAGATTGACCTGTAAAAGAATGCTATAAGAATTTCCTACAGTCACGTACTTTTTGGTGTAAGCTCCATGGGCGTCAAACCCTGGGTACGCTCAGCTCCTTCTGCATTGGTCTTGGCTAAAAAAAAGAAAAAAAATGGTTATTACATAACTCAGCCAAGAGGAGGAAAAACAGTTAAGCTGAGTCATGGCTAAACGATTAAATAATGGGATGAAGCCGAGTAAGGGAATAATGTAGGCTGGGCATTGGGAAAAATTTCCCAACAATAAGCTAGCATAAGGATTGCTCAGTTCCCAGGAGAAAGCAGTGGCAGGAGTCAGGATAAACAAAGAGCTCGGGAAGGATCCGCAAGGCAGAGAGTGGAATGAGGGAGGGAGTCTCTTTCAGGGCTCTCAGTAGGATTTATCCATCACTCACTTCTAGACGCTGGGATTCAGCAGTAGTTAGAAAAGCCCTCTTTCCAACGGGGAAAGGATGTCCCACCCTTCGGACTTCTCTTAGAAAAGCTTCTGCTGTGGGTCTGTGACATTAATGAATGTGAGCAGCTCTGCTACTTCAGTAAAAAGGCTGGAAGGACTCCAGATAGCAGAGGGGGGTGGAGGTCTCCAGTGGCATCACACCATCAAGCAGTGCCAAACCCTTCCTTGGTGGAGCTCCCCCTGGTAGCTGCAGCCCACCAGAGCATCTCTGGGGAGTCCAGACATATCAGTGTTTGCCCCATCTCTGCAACCAGAGCACGCGGGTCAGAATAGGAGGCTTTGTGTGCCTTGTCTCTCCACCCCAGTGTCTGCCCAACTCCCAGGCGACAGCCCTTCAAAAGCTCCCTTTGATTTCATGATATTTATGGGGATGGAAGAAGGAAAAATATCCAGCCAGCTCTAAAGCACCCATTTAAATGGGCTGTGCCTTGCAACACCCTCTCTGCATGTTCCCTCTGCTTGTTCTATAAAAAGGTCACAGTATGAGCTGGCACTAGGGGAAAGGGCCACAGTGTGCTGCCTGGGGCTGAACACCTGAATTGTTCCGTCAGCTCTGTATGCCCTAGCACCAGTGAAAGGTGACACTTCGAAGAAAAAAAAAACACCGAGTCATGCTCATGCCAAGGTTGCATGGGGAAACCCTCATTCACCAATGGTTATCTCCTGAATAGGCCAAGGTGGATGGCTGACAGCCAGGGGAGACCGAGGTTGCAGCAAGTCCAGAAATATAAGGCAGAAAAAAAAAAATCACAGGTGGAACTATGCTGAATGTAGAGAGATCCCTATGAAAGCTCTGCAGAAATATTGAACCCAGCACCCGGGCTCCACCACCCAGAGCGCACTTCTCTCCACAGATTGAGGATCTGTGGATCCAAACTCGAATATTCCAAAATAAGCAGGAGATTCTGGATGCTTGACTCAAGACAGAGAGGCTGGAAGCCTCAATCCATCTCTAGTTAAGCACCCAGAACCAGTGCCTAACTTTTAAAAACTTAGTTCATGGTGTCCAATATGCTGTCCTCCAACCACAGGCACACACAGCACCTCCTGCTATCAGTAGAAAAGAGTTTATTAGGGCCCACTGTCTTGAGAGACTTTCTTAGGCCAGGCACACTGCTGTCCTGAGCCATCCAAACAGGTAGCATCCAACAGCATTTAGATAGCTATATTATCACTCTCATTTTCCTAAAGGAAACAGCCATTTCCTGACACCTCAGCACCATAGTTCAGGGTCAAGGGAAGAAGGCCATTAAACTGATCAGGAAGCCATAAAATGGAGAGGGAAAGAACAGCATGGCAGTTATTAAATTGACCATCAGAACAGTAGCAGAAGGACATGTGATGGGACAGGGCATAACCAGCCAATTCCAAGCCAGATGTGTCTACTCTGCAAATTTGTGTCTCAGTGTTCAAGCTGCCAAAATGCGGAGTGACACATTCTTGCTCACAGATTCTGGCACAAAGCAGTAGACATGGCTGACCCACAAAGCAGAACCCATACAAAATTCAGGGCAAAAAGAACCAGGCTTAAATTATTTTGTTTTTCTCCCTCCCTTGTTATGACACTTAACTCAAGGAAGTAAAGGATAGGGGCAGGGAAGGAAGGGGAAGGGGGAGGAAATCAAGCTGTGACCATTTCCAGCAAATGGAGGAAACAAATTGAAGAGGGAACCAATGGAAAAGTTCCACTTTCTAGACAGACCTTGTCATCATCAGTGATTTTGCAAAGGTTACTTGTGCAAAAAGAGAGCTGAGTGAAGTTAGTGCTTCCCTCATAATCGGTTCTTGGGACCTGTTGCTCATGGCTAGTTGTTCCCCATTTAGCAGATTGGCAAATGCACTTTCAGTATTTATTGCACAGGGCAGGAGTTCCCAGGTGGCACGCAGCACATTCAGATTGCATCAGTAACAGAAAGTCTCTCTGAGGAACCATCAGCTGGATGAAAGCAGGAGGACAGCTGGTGTAGCATGGGCTCATCACTACTGTACTTCGCATCTTCCATGGCTCCTACTCCATTTCTGGTACCTATACAAGGCCACCTTCTGCAGAGCCTTCAGCAGGCTGGAGGACCATCCACACGACCTGACAAAACGGCGGTCCTGTTTTGGGACAACGTAGGATAAAATGGGAGAGAAGCAAATTGATGGTCCTCTCAGTCAAGGGTGGAGGGAGGGGGGTTACAGGAGGAAATTAGACAGATCTGAAGCCTGACAAATCTCAGAACAGGCTGCGAGATCTGCCTTTTTGATAGTCTTTTCACCATGACTGGCAGGATTTAAATATATGCTGGCTGAGGCTTTGAAATCTGTCAGTTCAGCTTTGGAAGTGGAATAGGGCTTCTAAAACATCAACAAAGCCTCCAGCAGCATATATAACTCTCAGCAGAGCTCTCTAGAAACTGGTAAAGGCAAGCAGCAAAGTATTCCACAAATTTCATAACAGAGTACACCTGAACAGACAGATCCACGTTTACCAGCACACCGAGTCTCTCTAACACCAATGGCACTGAGGAAGTTTCTAAGACAGTGGTTCTCAACCAGGGTGCTGTGACATCCTGGGGTGCCTTGAAGTCCTTTTAAGCGTGCCACAGCATGCCATGCAATGCTAGCACTGTTAGGTTTGCAAATATGATTCACAAGATAAATCCAGAGATATCAAATAGGAATCTGCAGTGTCAACAACATTCTGACCTGTTAGGGGTTTTTTGAGTTCTTTGCAACAAGACTTGCTCTAGTATTTTTTTGTTGTCAAAAAACAAACTAAAAACTAAGAGCTAGCATTTTCCCAGGGGGGGCCTTGAGTCTAACAAGGGCTAATTTGGGTCTACAAAGTTTGAGAACCACTGTTCTAAGAGTTCAGTAGATAAGACAAGCATGAGGAGCATCACTTGAGAGATCCCATGTTGTCCCTGATCTTGGAAACTCAGCCTGAGCAGATTCCTTCTTCCAAGATGTTGAGTCAAGCAGAACTCTCTCTGCACTGCATTTTGTCCTCATATAGCTGTAGGGCTGGAGCCAGTCCATTCACTTCATCAGAATCATCCAGCTTTGCCCCTGTGTAGATGAGAACAGCATTAGACCCTCAGATTTTACTAATGTTGTCAACTCTTGTAAGTTTATGACCAAAGAAAAAAAAAACCCCAAAAAACTCACCTTACTTTAAGTACATGAGAGCTGAGATTTCAGGGTGGGGCTTTAAGAAAACTGAATCTCAGCTTTCTTCTTCTTTGTTTTTTTTTAAGTTTTTTAAGTCCTGAGGGTTGTAGGGAACAGCTTGAGAACATGAAGCATGCCCAGAAAGCTCAAAAGCTACGAAACGTTTTAAAAAGAACCAAATATTTATTCTTTAGAGAGAAGTCTCATGGCTTTGTTTTAGCTTCTGGGGCTTGCAGCACTGCTCCAGCAGCCTGTAGTTCCTTCTGTGGGAGGGAAAATCATTCTGGCCACCACTTTGCTGAACCTACCAATTACTTTTTCAAAAGCTCTAAACAGGTGAAATCTCTCGTGCAGATCAAAATACAAGGCAGCTGCAGCCTTCATGTTAATCAAATTCAGCTGCTTGCTTGACTAGTATGGATTTTGTTTCAACCAGCACATTGTTTTTAGGATAAAAAATTTGCTGCCGGTTATTTTCCCACTCTGATCAGTTGCGGATGTCCATGAGCATTTTGCAGTGGCTTATGCAATGCTAAATTTAAAAAAACCCTCAACCTCCTCTTCAGAAAAGGGAAACTTTTATTTCTGTCCCCCTCCCAATGGACTCCAGGCCTTTGAAACAGAAGAGCCTGTTCCTCCCTCAGCATTTCAGGGCTGTCCTGTCCTGCCCTGCCCTGCCCCAAAGAGAAGTGCCCTATAATTAGCAATATCAACATATTAGCAGTTTGCTAGCAGCCTGTGGGCTATAGCCTGGCAGCATAAATTTTCATAAATAACTAAACAGAGATGCACACGTCCATACACGCTTGGACATTGTTTTGCTGGATGGAATTTGCTAGCAGAACCCACCAGCAGTGCAAACAGCAAACCCCAATATCCCATTTGAGAGTAACGGCAAATTTGGCCTCTGAGACAGGTGAAGCATTAGTTGCTGTGGGCTGCACTGATGATGCGTAGGCTAGGTACAGGAGTGCTGGGTTCAGTCATTGGCTTGGATGACCTCCTTCTCTGGCAAGCAGCTATTCTAAACTTGTCAAATGCACGGGGATTGGCAGGCATAAAGAGCTGTAACTTGGCATTAACTTGGCATTGTTATTAGATTCCAAGGCAGGTGAAGGGGTGGGCAGCTGGACAACTGCACACATCACAGGTTGGATACTGGGGACTGCAGAGGTTCGATTTTGTTCTAACATGGAGCAGAACGAGCCCATCGGTCTTTTTCTAAATCACCCTCTTCAAGGGCACTTGTCATCTTTCTCCCATTCTTGCCTTGCTTTGGGCTGGGTCTGTCCTCCTTTCAAAGGGCTCTCATCCCCATGGGAATATTGTCCGTCCCGGTGCTCCTGACACTTAAGGTGCTCTGTTGCTTTACTGGGAAAGGCTGAGACCTCAGAACGCTTTTCCATCTTTCCATCTCCAAGTTGAGTCTTAGAGTCAGAGAGCGCTGGACTCACCCTTAACGATAGCAGTGGAGATTCAGGGCTATGGCATCACCTACATGAATAGGAGAAACTCAAACGAAGTGGTCAAGTTTAGGCTCTATCAGCAAAGCACAGATGGGGGCATGCCCCCAAGCATGAGCTCTGAAGCTGACTCTGAATGAGGTGGGGAGGGAGGGAGGAAAAGGGGCTATTTCTGAAGGTGGGAATCCAAGATCTGGATGGGAAGAATCATTAGATTCAGCCTAGGAATCCTCTGACCAGTTGCTATAATCTTTGAATTGGATCTAAACCCAAGGGGGCAAAATTTGGACCCAACTTCAGACTCTTCCTGTATTTAAGCTTTGGCAAGGCCCTGATCAGCACTTCTCCCACATTAATGAACTAACCCATGCCAAGCCCCTGAGAGCAGGAATTATCCCTGTCCCTCTTGCAGGCATGTGACTTGCCAGAGTCACAGAAGAATTCTGCATCAGAGCTGGAATAAACACCTCCTTCTTCTTTATCCCAGTCCAGCACCTGCTGTGGTGGTCTGAGTCCATCTCCAGGTTTATAGCCAGGCACAACATTTTCCTGCACTCCCTGAAGGTTGAGCTGGCTCTTCCAAGGCAGCACCTCCCAGCTTCGACTAACAGGACCCCTCAGCCAAAATCAGCATGGGAGTTGGTAGGAAGTTCCCAGGGGCTGGGCCTTATTTGCAAAAGGGCTGTTTTTAGCTGGCTGGATTTTCTCTTTATTTTTCTTCGATCTGTTTTTTCTCTTTGTTTTTTTTCTTAACTGCTTCTTTCCACTATTGTCTCCCCTTCTTACCTTCTTTGTTCATACCAGGACTGTTGGAGCATCACTGAGGTGTTGGAGCCCTGCAGCACTCTTGACTTAGGGGGTGAACCCATCACCCAACTGGAGAGCACTTGAGAGATGCTGGCAAGAATTTAATGTGGAGCACTTACACTGTCACCGCACAGTGCACGTGTTTCTGCTGTATCCTTCTTCCTAGAGACATGTCACTGGAGTGAGAGCTCTGCACTGAATGTGTTCCCCAGGACCACAGAAATCCAGGTCATGTTCTTCTCTTCAAGAACATGCCCAGAATTTGTACGTCATCGGCTTACAGTTCCCTTCGTGATTGCTCCTCTGTCTTCATGCAGAGCTCCCAGAATCCTCTGCAAGGAAGCATGGCAATCCATTTGTTATACTTGTCCTACCTAAAAGCCAGTAGATAATTAGATCTAGGGAGCCTTTGTCTTGACTAACACAAATTGAGCAAGAGCATGGGAGGGTCAGGAGTGCTGGTTTCTATTCCTTGTTCCTCCGCCAAATTGCTGTAGGAACTGGGAGGATCATAAGGGAATTCTCAAGCGAGTCATGCTGCATGCCAGGAATGACCAAAGAATCCAGGTCTCTACAGGCTCTGGGGGCTGAAACCCAATGCAGAATCGTTTTTCCATCTTGAATTTATCTCTGGACTCTTGTTCACTTGCTTTTCAGGCCCTCTCTGCAGTGTCCTGGTCGAGCGATTTGGCTGCAGGCTCACGGTGATGCTGGGAGGTCTGCTCAGTGGAGTGGGCATGGTGACCAGCTCTTTCTCTAAGTCCATCAGCCAGCTCTACATAACAGCCGGCTTTATCACGGGTGAGTGCTAAGTTAGGACATGAGGCCTCAGTTACTGCCCTTGTTGGGATTTGGGTGTTGAAAGTATTGGGGAGCGGTGTAGAAGGAGCAGAGCCCAGGCTGAATGTTTGGGTCTTTCCCTCATCCAGCAAACAGGACTGATCACAATACACATAAATTGGTAGGATTAACGGGCTGAATAGCCAGCAGCCTCTTGCACTTGCTTATGGCACGTACTATTCAGCTAGGCTCATTGGAAACCGCTTCTTCCACAGTTCCCCACAAGGATACACGTCTCTACAGGGGAGAGATGATGAACAAAGATACTACCATTTTTAGAAGCTGGGTGGTTTTCTGGTTTTGAGGAGGGGGAAGGTCATATAAGGGGGATGATTTTTCTGACCTTAATTTCTCCAAAGCTGCAATGTGGTGCACTGGGAAAACATCCATGTGGGTCCTATGTGTTCATAGCTCACCCCTCCCTATTCAGAGAAGTCAGAACACACCCTTTTTCTACCAAAATGTGGTGGTTTTGACCAAAATGATATTGAAACTCCCCCCACCACCCCCCAGTGATTCTCAACCACTTGTGGGGGGGGTATCATGGGGGTGCCTGATGTGTGAGGGGATAAGCTCAGGGTCAGGCTTGTCCCTGCCTGACTGCTCTCCTGCCCCCCTTATCCAGCCCCTCTGCAAGGAGGCAAGCACTGTACTAAATACATTAGTTTCTGAAATGGAGTGCCACTTAATCCTCAAAAGTTACGGAGAGCTCTCAAGTCTAAAAAGGTTGAGAACCACTGCCCTGAATATTTCTGTTATGTGTCCATTAAGGGACTCTCCCTCTTTTTGTAGCACAGTCATGAATTTCTGTGGTCAGGTCACCCTGGGACTCAGTCTCACTGGATCTTTGCGAGCAAAGCAGGGAGATGTACTAGTCTGAAGTCAAGTACAAGGTGCAGTAGATTTGTGCCTTATAGACTAACTAAAGTAGGTATCTATATAATACAAGCTTTCGTAGGCTGTAGCTCACTTTATCAGCTGCTGAAGCTAAAGCAGGGTCAAAGCTGATGATCACCGCAACAGCACAGGAAACCCATCAGCAGGAAATATTCCATTCTCTAAGTTGGTAAAATGAATTAATGAAGGCAAATCTCTATCATGGGGGTAATTAATTATCCTGGTACCATTTTGTCAAGATCAGGGGTTTTGGGACAACTTTCAACTTGGATAAGAGCATCCAGCTCACCTAAAATTGCCTGAAGCTCCATGCAAGATACTGCTTTTTATATCACGTGTTATGCTGTGCCGAGCTACTAAAAACTGTTCACTTGTGCACACTGTTACAGAGTGGTGGCTGAGGTAATTTGTGGGCACGGTCGAGGCTAATGATCCTTCAGGCAGAAAGGTGCTTTGGAAACCTAAAACGTTGCTATTGTTTTCTCTCTTTTTTTCAAGGCCTGGGATCATGTTTCAGCTTCCAAGCAGGAGTGACCGTGCTGGGATACTACTTTGTGCGTCGGCGGGCCCTGGCCAATGCTGTAGCATCTACTGGTGTTTCCATTGGCCTCACACTGTGGCCCTTGATTTCCCAGTACTTGCTGGACGAGATGGGCTGGAGAAACACTTTCCTTATCTTTGGGGGGGTGCAGTTGAACTGTTGCGTCTGTGGAGCCATCATGAGGCCAGTCCAGCACAAATCTCCTAGCCCTAGACAAGTGCCAGAGGAGACAACAGAGGGGGCACAGCTATCCAATGGGGCTGGTCCTCACCCAGCAGAGCCCCCGCAGCAGGGCAGGTTTGCTACTTGCTGCCGGATACTACAAAAGTACTTGGCCTTTGACGTCTTCTACAAAAACAAGGGTTATCAGATTTATACCATTGGTGTGACCTGGATGGTGATGGGCTTTGTGCTGCCTCTGATCTACCTGGTTCCTTACGCCACCCAGAATGGGGTGGAGGAGCGCAAGGCTGCCCTCCTCATCTCCATCATTGGCTTCATCAACATTTTCATGCGCCCCATGGCTGGGCTACTCTCAGGACTCAACATCTTTGCTGGGAGGCGCATCTACCTGTTCAGCCTGGCCGTGCTGCTGAACGGCCTCAGCAACCTCATCTGCGTCATCTCAGCTGACTTCACCGTGCTCGTCCTCTACTGCCTCATCTACAGCGTGTCCATGAGTGGCATCGGAGCACTCGTGTTCCAGGTGCTGATGGATGTGGTGGAGATGGACAGGTTCTCAAGTGCCTTGGGGCTCTTCACCATCCTGGAGAGCATCACCATCCTCATTGGGCCACCACTTATAGGTGAGAAAAGTTCGCTGGCTGGAGAGAGGATTGATAGGGCCCTGAAGCCAAACCTTGGGAAGTATAAAGTGGAGGGAGGGTGGGAGGAATTATCTGATTTCCCCAGGGCCATGGGGAGGGAACATTATTAACAGGAGCTTCATCTTCCCTGGTGTCTCTAAGAGGAGGGCTTGCAGTTGGATTCCTTTTAATCAGCAGAGGGCATGGAGAGGTAACCTGACTGGCAGACAGCTCCGATATCCAAGCAGGTGACAGGTTTTTGGATCTTCACTGGCTGGTAGACAGAGACTGAGAAATATTCACAGGACAGGATCTCTTACCACTTCGCTGACTGCACCATTCTCTACCTGTCCCTGGAGGCTTCTTAGCATGCAGTCCAGACACAGGACAGCCTGATCACAGAATCATAGAAAATGAGGGTTGGAAGAGACCTCAGGCAGTCATCTAGTCGAACCCCCTGCTCAAAGCAGGACCAGAAGTGTAGTAGGTTCTGTGCTGTGCAGGACACCTACAGTAGGAAGAGGAACGTGGCTGCTTAGGCGTTTGCAGCCACTTCTGTCTCTCCCTGTTGTTGGCCCCATGAATTAATACTATTTTCTCTTGGGGAAGGAAAGGAAGCTAGGATTGCCATTTGCCCCATCCCTTCAGCCAGATGCAGTTCACCTTGAACCCCACTGGGTGTCCTGTTAATATCTCTGCTGTCCCTGCATGAAGTAACATTGCAGTGCAACAGCAAGCAATGCAACAAGTAACTAAGAGACAGGAAACTGGCACTGAATGTGAATCTCAGGCTGAGGATCTGAGTCCCTGACACAGTAGGAGCTGAATGAGCACTGGTGAGGGTCTAGCAGGCTACCTCACACTGATCAAATGCTGCCCTGCTACTTCAGAGCCTTCTTAAGGTGCTTTTGTCACAGGGACTATGCTATAATGGCAAAACACATGCAGCTCCTGCTGCGTAACAGAGGCACAGTCTTCCAGGATAGGCTTGCTGAGACCAGGGCCATTCTAATGTAATGGCCACACTTCCTCCATACACTAACCTGCCGGGGAGTTCCAGAAGGAAAGTCATTCATGTGTGTCAAACACTTTGAAATCTTCTGATGGCAGGTGCTAGGGCAGAGCAAAGCATTGGCACTGTTACCAAATTCTGCAAAAACA